GAATAGAATAGAGAATCCAGAAATCAACCCATACACCTACAGCCATCTGATCTTTGGCAAGGCACCAAGTCTACACACTGGGGAAGAGACTGCCTCTTCAGCAAATGGTACTGGGAAAACTGGATATTCATATTTAGGAGAATGAAACTAAATCTGTACCTCTCACTATATACCAAAATCAACTCAAAATGGATTAAAGAATTAAATATACATCCTGAAACAATAAAACTCCTTAAAGAAAACAGGGAAAACACTCCAAGAAGTAGGATTGGGTACAGACTTTATGAATATGACCCCAAAAGCACAGGCAGCCAAAGGAAAAACAAACACATGGGATTATGTCAAACTAAAAAGTTTACACACAGCAAAAGAAGCAATTAGGAGTGAAAAGACAACCAACAGAGTGGGAGAAAATATTTGCAAAATATACATCTGATAAAGGATTAATATCCAGAATATACAAGGAACTCAAACAACTTAACAGCAAAAAAATAAATAACCCCGTTAAAAAATTGACAAAAGAGCTGAATAGGCATTTCTCAAAGCAAGATATAGGAATGGCCACCAGACTCATGAAAAAATGCTCAACATTACTCAGTATTCAGATAATGGAAGTTGAAACCACTTTGAGATACCATCTCACTCCAGTTAGGATGGCTAATATCCAAAAGACTGAGAATGGTCAATGCTGGTGAGGATGTGGAGAAAAAAGAACCTTCCTACACTCTTGGCAGGATTGCAAAATGGTGGTCTTTATGGAAAATGGTATCGAGTTTACTTAAACAATTACACATAGATCTACCATATGACCCAGCTATTCCACTGGTAGGTATATACCCAAAGGAATGGAAATCATCATGTCAAAGGGATACCTGTATTCCTATATTTATTGCAATGCTATTTACAATAGCCAAGAGTTGGAACAAGCCTAAGTGCCCATCATCAGATGAGTGGATAAGGAAACTGTGGTATATCTACACAATGGAATACTACTCTGCTATTAAAAAAAATGAAATACTACATTAGCAGCAACATGGATGGACTTAGAGAAAATTATATTAAGTGAAATAAGCCAGGCAGAGAAAGAGAAATACCACATGTTCTCACTTATTTGTGGGAGCTAAAAATAAATAAATATAGAAACAAATAAATGGGGTGGGGGAGGAGGAAGAAGACACAACAATCACAGTGCCTTGAACTTGTTAAGACAAGTGAATAGATAATGATGTTGATGGGGGTGAGGGGGAGAGGGAGGAGGGAAAGGAGGAATTGGTAAAGAGACACAAAAATCAAGTACATTGTGTATATATATAAATGTTAATGTTTTGTTTTATTTTTATTGGTTAAGAATATTCATGGAGTACAAAGCAAATTGTCACCACTCGTGCCTAAGATGTGATGGCCAGATCCATACTGGCAGCATGCCCATTACCACAAATTGTGATTATACCCCATGTCCCCCACCCAATTATCCCCTCAATTATCTCCGACCTCCCTCCCCATCTCCCTTTCCCCCACTCCACTTTGTATGCCTAGGTATGTTCTCTTCTTTTGCAAGTCCAATGCAGCACTGTGGTCTTTCTTTCCTTTCTTCTTTATGTCTTAGCTCCCACTTATGAGAGATTACATATGGTATTTATCCCTCTGTGCTTTGCTTATTTCACTTAACATAAGTTTCTCCAAGCTTATTCATGTTGTTGCAAATGGGAGAATTTCATTCTTTTTATGGCAGAGTAGTATTCCATGTATGTATACCACATTTTCCTTATCCAGTTTTCCATCAAAGGACATTTAGGTTGGTTCCATTCCATATCTTTATTGTAAATAGAGCTGCGATGAACATGGGAGTGCAGGTATCCCTTCAGCATTACGATTTCCATTCCTTTGGGTATATACCCAGAAGTGGGATTTCTGGATCATATGGAGGATCTATCTGTAGTTGTTTGAGAAACCTCCATACTGTTTTCCATAGTGGTTGCACTAATTTACAGTCCCACCAACAGTGTAGGAGCATTCACTTCTCTCCACATCGTCAGCAGCATTCGTTACTGTTATTCTTTTTGATTATAGCCGGTATAATTGGGGTGAGATGATATCTCAAGGTGGTTTTAATTTGCATTTCCCTGATGACTAGTGATTTTGAGCATTTTTTCATGTACCTATTTGTCATTTGTATGTCTTTGTATAATAAAAAAATTTTCATGAATAGCTAATCACTTTGAAAATCAACATGAGAAAAAAGAGCAAAGAGAAATAATTCACCCTATTAGATATTAAGGCATATTTTAAAACTATAATAATAAAATGGCATGGTACCCTCATAGGAACTGATAAGTACACAAAGGAACAGAAAAGAAAGCTCAGAAATACATTCAAGCATGTGTGGTAATTTGGTATATGATAAAGATGCCTCTCAAAAATTTGGAGAGGCAACATAGCTTTTTAGTTTGTAGTGAGTTAGTTCTCTAACTGGAAAATATAGCTGGATTCCTACCTTATGCAATATATAAAAGTGGACTTTAGATGGATTAGACATAAGTGGGAATGGTGAAGCTAAATGTACAGTGTCTAATGTAATTTACACAGGTAAAAATATTTTAAACAGGAATTCAAAAGCAAAACCATAAAACCAAGAAAGAGATGGTTTTTACTATGTTATAATTAAGATTTTCTGGTCAACAAAGGACGTTATAGACAATGTTAAGTGATAGATAATGTTAAGTGACAGAAGATATTTAAATCATTAAAACCAGCCAGAGATTAATTTGCAGAATATATAAGAATGCCCAAAAACCATCAAGAAAAAACAAAACCCCAATAGAAAAATGGTAAAAGGATATAAATAAGCAGGTTACTGAAAGAAAAGTCAAAATGGTTACCAAATATATGGAAAGATTCTCAAAATCACAAGTATCCAGATATCACATTGCGGGACCTTGCTGGCCTGGCTGTCTTGTCTCAAGTGGTGTGAAGTGGTCTCTGTATCCCCTCTTCCCTCTGCCCTTAGCATTTCTTCTGATTTTTCCTCCTTTTCCCTCCCTCCTCTTCCTGCTTCCCCATTCCTCGCTCGGTTCGGCACAGGTAAAATGGTTATCTGTCCCTCCTTCCCCCCTCTGCCTTCATGGGTCACCAGCTCACATCATGTTTTCTTTTCTTTTCTTTTTGTGTGTTTTTATTTGTTGTCCCTTCTCCTCCTTCTCCTCCTCTTCCTTCTCTCTCTCTTTCTCTAATTTTGGTTTCTCTCAAGCTTCCACATGATGCTTAGTGCTACAAGGAAAGAATGAAGGAAGAAAAGGGGAAGGGAGAAGGAGGGAAAGGGAGACAGGAACATCTGTAAAAAAAGTAGCCAGACAGTCCAGCTAAACTCATAACACATTCTCCAGTTACATAGCAGAAGAGGGAGGAAGAACAGAAAAGAAAAAGGGGAGGAAGAAGGAAAAAGTGAGATATTTAAGTGATATCTCATTGTCAGTAAAAGATAATGAGATATCACTTTGAAACCACCAGAATGGAAAAAAAAAAATAAAGGAGGATAATACCAAATTACTAATTTGTAAGCAGACGTGCCCTCTTGGGCACTACCCCTGACAGTCTTAATATTATAGACTTCAAGAAGTGGCTTACATTACTTATAAAAGCCTTTCAAAGTCACATTTTGTGATTCTATCCAGTGTAATATGGCCCTGATCATAAATGTACCAATCCAAGAAACTCCCATTTTTTAGGGGTATACATTGTTAAAGTAAATTAAAATGGAGACCAGGCCTGAAGAATCCCTGAGCACACAAAACCAGTTAGGGCTCATAAGTGACCTAAATCTTGCTTAAGTTGCCAACATAAGTTAAACTTAACTTGGGTCATTTCTGATAAATATTTATGTTAGACAGAAATAAAACTTCAACCAATCACAAGCAGCAAACTAACATGATTATGTGACTAGGAACATTCCAACGAGGTACCTAAAAAAGGGCAATTCTGTAATCGTAAACCAATCAAATCATTTCTTTACTTTGCTTCCGCATTTTCCCAACACATACTTGTCTCTGATGTATTGTCACTGGAGCACTAAACCTCTTTCGGTCTGGTGTTCCCCAGTTCGTGAATTGCTTCTTACTCAAATTCTTTAACATTTTGCCGTTCCTCAGATTTTTCTTTTACAACATATACACATATATCGCCAGCTTCTGTAATGGATATTTGTTTTGTGATTCCTAGAATTACAAACAGTGCTAGAAAACATATCATGTATCTTTGTGTGCATATGAAAATATATACAAAAGAAAGAAAACAACCCAACTTAACTATACTGTTTTTCTCCTTCCTCTGTGGCAGCACACATCAGAAAGTAGACTGATAGACATAAGTTTATCATGGGTGTATTTTTTTCTGCTTACTGTGAATGTCATATACTGATAACAGGTATAATTGCCTGGGAGATGCAAATGCAAATTATGGTAAAATGAGTGGCTTTAAGTCAAGGACTCCTGTATTCATTCATGTTATAGTAGAGGTGACCTGTATACCTTGATTTTTTTGGTCCCTACTGTAGATGATTATCTCTTAACTAGACTGAGATCCATAGATCCCCAAATGCATCTCCAGTGGTGGAATTTCGAGTATCAACCCAAACAGCGAGGGAGGTGTTTCACTGTGTAGGGGTGAGAGAAAGGTTGGGGAACTTAATTCTCCTAAATTAAATCAAGTAATCAATTGCTTTCTCTGCTTCCATGTACTGACAATTTTGGTTGTGGGAAAAAGAACAGTAGTCTACACACAGAAAGTGCTTTGGAAATGGATTTGTTTTGGAAGTTAACTTTGGGCAAAGCTTTTTAGTTTCCTTGAAGCACCTATGAAATATTTACTAGGAGAGAGAAATTTAAACTAAAAAACTTTCTCTTTTCTTTGCAGCACAGTCAAAGTAGAAACGGCATTCCTTCAACGATCACACATGTGGAAGGATTTTTTTTCTTATAGTAACCTGGAGGCCTGGGGCTGACAAGATGGGCTCAGAGAACCTCCTGCCTCCTCAACTGCTCTGGCTCATTTTCATTGGGCTTTCTCTGATGTTGGCAGAGGCATACGGTTCAGTAAATGCACACAGTATGAATTGGACATTCGCCATGTGTTCTGCATTCCAAAGATTAGCAACTTGACAGATGTCATTAGTGACATCCCTGGCTACACCACTCACCTCAGTCTGACACAGAACCAAATTCAGGTCCTTCCTCCCTGTAGCTTCACAAATTTGTCTGCTCTGGTGGACTTGGGACTGGAGTGGAACTCCATTTGGAAGACTGGTGAGGGGGCCTTTTGGGGACTTGAAAATCTAACCCTTTTGAATTTAGTAGAAAATAAGTTTCAAAGTGTGAACAACTCCTTTGAGTGCCTGTCCAACTTGGAGACCTTGCTCCTGAGCCACCATCAAATTACCTATATTCACAAAAATGCCTTTGTCCCTTTTGTCAAATTGAAACATTTAAGCCTATTTCAAAACTTTGTTACCACTTATTCCAATTTTCTTGAAGAAGTCCAGCATCTTCCATGTCTGGAATACATTGATCGTACTAACAATAGCATCATCACCTTGGACCACAGCCCCAGGTCATTGGTCTCCCTGACTCATGTGAGCCTGCAGGGGAACAAGCTAATGGGGTTAAATTTCTCTGCTTTGTCACTGCCTAATCTGATCTCTCTGGGTGTCTCTCAGAATGGCCATTGAGTCATCCAGAATGTATATCTGGAAATTCTGCCCCAACTGAGGATCTTGAATCTGAGTGGAACACTGGTGAAATTGGAGATACTTTCAGCCAAACAACTGCAGAATATAAGGGAAATGGACCTCAGTAATTGGGAGCTTAGAGGTGGTCACTTAAACTTGAACACTTGTGTCACCTCCTCAGAAATTTACCCATATTAGAGACTTTGGTTTTTCAGAAAAATGCCGCTGATACAGGGGGCATAAAGCATCTTGCCCACTGCACCAGGCTTTTGTACCTTGACCTAAGCCAAAGCAGTGATTTGGTTCACCTCAATGACAGTGAGTTTAATGCTATGCCCAGCCTCCAAAGGCTGAATCTAAACAAGTGCCAACTTTCCTTTGTCAGCAACAGGACATGGAGTTCCCTCCAGAACTTGATAGCCCCACACCCGAGCCACAACAGGTTCATAAGTTTTCCAGATTTTGACATTTTCACTCTTGAGGTACCTAAAGCCTCTCTTTCTCTCTAGAAACCCCATCACAGAACTCAATAATATGGCCTTCTATGGGCTATATTCACTGAAAGAGCTCAGCTTTGCTGGGTGCTGAATAGTGACAATTGACAGATTCTGCTTTGCTCAGTTTCCAAATCTAGAGAGCTTAGACCTTGGAGACAACAGTATTCGGACTCTAAAGCACAGAACCTTTCAATCTCTGAAGAAGCTCCAAGTTCTGATTCTTTCCTGGAACTGCCTGAAAGCTATAGAGAAGAGTGCATTTTCTGGCCTCAGTTACGTATATAATCTTGATCTTGCACATAATATCTTGTCAAGTTTTCATGCAGACCTTTTCTTGGACCTTGAAAATCTGGAAGTTTGGGATCTCAGTTTTAATAAAATTATATATGAAACCACTAGGACCTTGTCATTTCCTCCATTTATGAACCTCAAGTCATTGAAACATCTCAACCTAGAAGGACAAATACATGGGATTCAGGTTGCTCCAACCAACTTCTTCCAGGGACTGAATGGCTTGCAGGAACTACTCCTAGGAATAAATCCCACAGTATTCCTGGACTATCTCCAATTTGACCCCCTGATTAATTTCACAGAGTTAGATATATCAGGAACAGAATCTGGAGACCGAAGTCTCTATTTAAATACTTCCTTATTTCAAAAACTCAGAAGACTAAAAGTGCTGTGCCTTGAAAATAACAACTTAGAGTCACTGACCCCTGGCATATTTTCTGGCTTAGCAAGCCTTCAGGTCTTGTCTTTAAGATTCAACAACCTAGGGGCCGGCCCGTGGCTCACTCGGGAGAGTGCGGTGCTGATAACACCAAGGCCGTGGGTTCGGACCCCATATAGGGATGGCCGGTTGGCTCACTGGGTGAGCGTGGTGCTGACAACACCAAGTCAACGGTTAAGATCCCCTTACCGGTCATCTTTTGCGAAAAAAAGAAAAAAAAAAAAAAGATTCAACAACCTAAAAGTCATTAATCAAAGTCACCTGGAAAATCCAAAGTCTCTGAGGTACTTTGATCTCTTTGGGAACAAACTTCAGTTCAACTGTGACAATGTGTGGTTCAAGAACTGGTCTAGAAACACAGCAAATGTTCATATCCCCTACCTCTGGAGCTACCATTGTCAGCAGCCAAATACCCAGAGTTTATTGATAGATTTTAATGAGGCTATGTGTAATTTTGGCCTGGAAAAGATATGCTTCTTCTGTTCGTTCAGTCTGGTTCTCACAACCATGATATTCTCTTGGTTCAGTGCCAAGATGACTTTATCTCTATGGTATGGGCTCTATATATTTAGAGCCTGTTGCCTAGATGAATGGTACAGGACAGAGAAGGAGTTCATCTATGGTGCCTTTGTCTCTTTCATTGCCACTGATGAGCAGTGGGTATATGAAGAGCTTGTTCCAGCCCTAGAAGAAGGGAGCCACCCACCTTTAAGTTCTATCTTTACCACTGGGACTTTGAACCAGGTATGGACATCTTTGAGAACATCCAGAATGCCATCAACACCAGCCAGAAAACTTTGTGTGTGGTCAATAACAACTACCTGCACAGTTAATGGTGTGGGCTTGAAGTACAGTTGGCCATCATCAAGATGTTCTATGAGCATGAGGATATTATTATTTTGATCTTCTTGGAAGAGATCCCAAACTATAAGTCTCCCCTACTGCCCACACTCCAAACAGTTCCCATGGGATAGGCCATGCACAGGACTCTTGCAATGACTCACCGGCCTTTGAATGACTCCTTTTTTCAGTTGTCTGTGGCCCCTCGCTGCTATGTGGGTCCACAGGAACTGGTCTTGCTGGCCTGGGGGCCACCAGGGCCCTCTTCTCCCCTGCTGTCTCCAAGCAACTTCACACAAAGGGCACAGCCGAAGCTTTTGCCAGCTCTTGCTCCATGTGCTCACCAGGGCCAGCCTTAAAGCGACTGGGGCTCGAAATGGTGGGAGCAGACCTTTCTTTCTCTCATTGTGGTTTCTCCTGCCTTTATGACCTCCATAGGTCTCTCCTCCTCTTACCCTGAGCTCTAGCGGCCCCAGCTTGGCTGTCATTGCTTTTTAATGGTTGTAAATTGGTTGATTTGTGGGAGAGAGTGATGCTGGGGACCGTCTATTCCACCATCTTGACTGGACCACACATCTGTTTTAATAAGGGGAGCGCTTGGAACACCAGTCACCTGAAAGTCTGGGGACCAGGAAGGCCCTCATATGTGCTTAAGGACATTGTTCAGCTAGTTTATCCAAACCAGTTCCTGTTGAGGTAGATTGAACTGTATTCCTTCTAAGAAACTGTAACAACAGAAACACCACGTATTTCTCATCACTCGGTAAAAGCAAAAAAAAAAAAAAAAAAAAAGGATTCTTTTGTATTCTCCTTTAGGGCATAAAGATTCCAGAGGTCAGCTTTTCCTCTAAGTCATAGTGCAAGGAGCTAGGAGAGTCCTACTTTGGATCCATCAATTTACTGAGTGGGAAGCAGCCTTGATGAGCTAGCAGAGCAATGATGCTTGCAGAACTATCACCCAACTGGGACAAAACAGACTTCACAGAATAGTTTTTGGCAGCCATCTTAAGACAGGGGTGTAGATTCCAGTGGCTGCATGTGTTAGGCACCAGACGCAAACCAGAGTCATGTAGAAGGCAATGCCTATGCGGGATCTTCAAAATGTTCATGGAAAGATTTGTATCATCTTTAATTCTGTTTTTCCACAAACCTTTTGAAGTACCTTAGTATTGGAACCAACGCTCAGCACAGGGACCATGGCCCTGGCATTAGGCAAAAGTGCTACAAATGCCTGCAGCAAGAGGAACCATAGATAAGATCAGCTTATAGTGGGAGTAGCAGGGTACCAACACTGCTTTTTTCTGATTGTCTCTCCAGAAAGTCTTTGTCTTTTGTTGCTGGTATCTTTCTCCAGTTTTCCCATTATCCTTAAGATTCTAGAGGACTTTCTTGAGGAAAAGATGCTGAAGGGCTGAATTTTCATTGGCTGGGGTAGACAGATGTTTGCTTCAATGGGCCCTAGTCAGCCCTCTCTGTAACATAAATGGTTCCCTGTACACAGAGAGGCATGTTTTAAACAGGACTTTTCTTAGCAAAAAAACTCCAAGGGCATTTGTGTGGGAAATTGTGACTCATTAGCTAGGTGTTTGTGGGTTAAATACTACATTTCAGCAGGAAATAATTTGCACCTACTACTTAGGATGTGCAAGAAATACCATATTACTTAATTTTCTTCAAATCAAATGATAATCTGATTTTCAGGTCCTGTTCTGCTACACTGGTGGAAAATTAAATGTCAGTCATTGTTGGGTTCCCCACCCTCACCTACTGGCCTCTAGTATTCTTACATGAAGAAAAAAGTTGCAGCATTTTCTCCAGTGTCTGGTTCACATCGATTACCACTTGTATGCCCATTGTCCAAGCTGGATCCCTGGAGTGTGATGACTCTGCAGCTTCTAGGAAATTGCTGGCACTGAAATTTTGCTGAGATTGGACACAGCCATTCCTTCCTGAAGTCCTGATACCTTCCTGGGAATGGATTGAGTCTTGGGTGCCCACCACTCAAAGGAAATTGCAGACCTCCATTTCTCTCTTGGTCTTGGATAATCTTCAATTCTCTGGCTGCTTCAACACCTTCCCCCACCCCACCAGTTGCTCTCTTCTCTGTCCTCCCTGCAAACCTGGCATGATCTCCTCAATGAACTAAGATAGCAAGAGAGGTTGTATTCAAACAAGCTCAGCAGGCATAGGATCACATTCCCTTTGGATGGGGGAGGTATAGTTCTCATTCTTTCTGATTCCTCCATGGCAGGGAAAACAAGATATAAACATCTCTATAAATATCCTGCCATGAAATTAATAAGTGAAAATGACTAGAAGACTAAGATCACTGACTGGTCAGCATGCCGATCAATGGCAGTCTAGGGTTCCTTGAAACTACAGTGTGTGATGTGAGGGGCACAACGCCGTGAAGAGGGTGATGGCTGAAGCCTAGTAGGAAAGTACACATAGGTGCATAAGTCTCTTGTCCTTCTTGGCAGGAAAGGCGAATAATTAATAACTCAAACTGGTTTGGTTTTTGAAATGATGAGCCAATTATGCTGGAATAGAGATTAAATTGTATAGGCCTGTTCTAGGAAACCAGAAGAACAATGTATTCATCTGTGTACTTGGGACCAGCTACATAAATTGCAGAGCCCAGCATAAAATGCAGATGCGGGGGCCACTTGTTCAAAAATGATTCAGAATTTCCAGACAGAGATGGCAGATAAACCAAGCACATGGAACTTCTGAGTGCAGGGCCTTGTGTGAGGGCACTGGTGACATGCCTATAAAGCTGGCCCTGCTTGTGACTGTCACCCAGGGGAACATCGACTTTGCCCCTCACAACTTAAATCTCTAAATAAGTAGGAAACAAGTTGGAATTTTCCCAAAGAACATATCAATTAATTCAGTAAAGGGATGATTATTTCCTTGAACAAAATTATTTCTCTAGCCTCTGAGGTCATCTAAGAAAAGAAGTGGAATTGTGGTTGGTATTTTTTTTTTAAAAAGTACACCACCATCAGAGACAAAATGGTGCTGTTGTCATTCCTGTTGTATTAGTTTTGGAAGGGATCGGGGCTGTAATTCAAGGCATACCCATTATACAAGGGTTTGCATTACATGTTTATACACATCAAATCTTTACTTAGCCAGGATACAGAGAAACTCATTTCATGGATTAAATTACTAGAACTCCAGACATTTTTAAACAAAGCCATTGGGCTCTAATTTTACACACACACACACACACGCACAAACACACACATACATATATATGTATATGTACACATATACACACACACACATATAAAATACTTGGAAATGATTATACAGCTAATTTCTCTACCAATCAATCTGATGTAACAAGTGGGTTAAATTGTAACAGAAATTTAGATGAGAAAAAGAGAAATTTTCTTGCCAGTAAAGGTAGAAATATATTAAGCTTAATTAATTAAAAGGAACTAAAATTTTATTCCCTACGAATACTGAAAAAAAAGGGATAGAAAACTCTCTGTTAGGAATTATTCATATGGGGCCCACCTGGATGATTTCAAGCTCATCTTCCAAACCAGAGTTTTAGTGCCATTTCTGAATTGGTGGGAAAGGGGTAATGTCTCTACTTACTGAATATATGTTTCCTTGTAACCACACATTTGTTCTTAATAATGGGAGTAGTGATTAGGTTTTAAAAAGCAGAGTCAAAATGATTCCTTGACACTTGCAGTGTGGTCCACAGACCAGCAGCATCAGCATCACCTGGGAGCTTGTCACAAATGCAGAATCTCAGGCCCACCCCAGACATACTAAACCATACTAATCTGCCTGACAACAAGAACCCTAGGAGATTCCTACACAGATGAAAGTTTGAGAGGCACTGGGTTAAGCAATTACCTACATTGAGGAATCTCTGGGAAGGTTCTTCTATCTTAAAATATTAACTCCCCTTAGATGATGCAGTGGTCAAAATTTAATCATTAAATATTCTTTGGATTTCTCTTCTTGTGATATTTCTTAAAATAATAACAGTAACAATAATATAATTTTACATGTGTATAGTTTATTACCGTTTTCAGAGCACTTTCACATCTATGATCTGACTTGATTCCTCTATGAAGAGTGACCCATTAAACCAATGCATTCTACCAATAAATATGAAGTTAGACCAATACAGTATTGCTATTTCCTAAAGGCCATTTAAAAATCCAAGAATAAGCCTAGCCAATTAGCTCAGTTGGTTGGAGTGTGGCCTTGTAATACCAACGTCAAGTGTTTGGTTCACTGTACTGGCCAGCTGCTAAAAAAAATTTAAAAAAGAAAAATCCAAGAATGACCTATAGGTACAGTGAAATCTGAATAAATTATGAGTGCAAAATAGACATAAGATATAAGAATTATGAGATAAAAAAGAATATAGTGAGGATATATTTCTCCCATCTACATACTAACCAGGCCCAATCCTGCTTAGCTTCCAAGATCAGACGAGATTGGGTGCATTTGTGATGATATATTTCTAAGCATGAAAATATACAATAATGCATAGAATCCCAGAAGGGATACTTATTATTGGGTATATTTAATTATTATTTATAAAATGATGTTTTTTCTAATTGTTGAGGTAAAAAAAAAAATAGAGGCTCTGGAAGTCACCTATATGTTCATTTAAAACAGTAAGCAACTTAACTTGACTGAGCTAGAATTAGCCTAAGAAAATGCAGATACACAATGCAAAAGTGAGAATAGTGTAGAAGACCTATTAATTCAGGAACTATACTTTTTTTTGTTTGTTTGTTTTTGTTTTTGTGACCAGTAAGGGGATCGTAACCCTTGGCTTGGTGTCGCCCGCACCGCGCTCAGCCAGTGAGTGCACCGGCCATTCCTATATAGGATCTGAACCCGCGGCCTCAGCGCTCCCAGCGCCACACTCTCCTGAGTGAGCCACAGGGTCGGCCCATAATTCAGGAACTATAAAAACAGGTTTGCAGAAGTGTCTGGACACTGACTGTTGTAAAGGTTTGTCTGTATATCAAGAAGATGGCTTTGACCCAATAATGTCACTTAATACAATCATCTTTGATTTTATTTTACTGTACCTCAAGGGCTGACCAGTTATCTCAGTTGGTTAGAGTATGGTGCTGATAACACCAAGGTC